GAGCGCGCCCCCAGCTCCTCTTCCTGTTTTCCCCTCAAGGGCTCACTGGTCAAAAGCACCCTCTCATAGCACCGACCTGGGTCCGAGACGCAGCCTCGTCACTCAGTGCGCCCAGGGATGTGACTTCCCTGGGCGTCGCTCTAACCGACGCTCTCGGAGGGTTCGTGGAGAGGACCTCCACAGCGCTCCTGGCACGGAAGGAGCCGTGGCTCGGAGACCTGCCTCCATCACCTGCCCCAGGGCCTCCACGCACCGCCGCGCCTGTCCCTTGTCGCCCTCTGGCTGCCCAGGAGTCACTCCCAGCAGGCTGCTGCAGCGGGGACCCTGCTCCAGGCCCCCGCCCTGTGCCGTCCGGCGGAGGCGCAGCGAGGGCGCGGGGCCTGGCTGGGGGGTCTCCGCAGCGGGTTAGAGCGATTTCACAGGTCTGAGCTGGGTGGGGGGTGGAAGTCCCTTCCAGTGTCTGTGGACTCAACCTCGTTTTACATATTCGGAGTTACTAAAACATCAGGCACAATGCCGACTTAAAGCTACACAGCCACCACTTGTCACTCTGCACTGCAGCGGCTTGCATGCTTCTGCGACGCTGGAGGCTGCGCACAGTATTCAAACAGCAGGGCCAGTGGAGCTTTCAGACCAAGAAGGGCTCGGCAACCTACTTCTGAAATGCTGGCTGGTGACAACTTCACGAATAACAGTGTGATGAATGGGGTACTAGAACACTCCACCGTGCTCGTGAGCAACATGTCCGTAGACCAAGAGGCAGTCCTTCAAATAGAACAAGGAGATACTGGTTGAAAATCACCCACGGATGTAAAACTCTGTGCATCAAGGTTGTATCCTTTCACCATATTCGATCTGTATGTTGAGCAAATAATCCAGGAAGCTGGATGATATGAAGGTGGCATTAAGATTAGAGGAAGACTCATGAACCACCCACGACATGAAGATGTCACCTCACTGGCTGAAAGCGAAGAGAACCTAAAGCACTTACTGATGAAGATCCAATTACAGTCTTCAGAATGGATTACACATGAACAAAAAGAAGTCCACACAACTGGACCCAAAAGGAACGTTACAGTAAACAGAAAAGATTTAAGTTGTCCACACACTTGGGTCCACAATCAATGCCCATGGAAGCAGCAATCAAGAAATCTAACCATGTATTGCACTAGGCAAATCTGCTGCAATGAAAACCTCTCTAAAGTTTATAAAATAAAGATGTCACTTTAAGAACTAAGGTGTGCCTGACCCAAACCACAGTATTTTCAATCGCCTTACATGCATATGAAAGCTGGACACTGAATAAGGAAGACAGAAGAACTGATGCCTTTGAATTATGGTGTGTGTGAAGAATATTGAATATACCATGGATGGCCAGAAGGATGAAGACATCTGTCTTGGAAGAAGTACAGCCAGAATGCTCCTTAGAAGTAAGGTGTCTCAGGTATATTAAATATGTTAACGGGAGGGACCAATCTTTGGAGAACGTCATGCTTGGTAAAGTGGAGGGTCAGTGCAAAAGAGAAAGCCCCTCAACAAGATGGACTGACACAGTGGCTGCAACACTGGGCTCAACCATTGCCAGCGACTGTGTGGATGGTGCAGGGTCAGGCAGTGTTTTCTTCTGTTGTAACAAGGTCACTATGACTTAGAACTGACTCAACGGCACCTAACAACATTCAGCGGGAGGCAAGTGACGGGATCATCCCCAATCACTGGCTAAGCCCTGGTCCAGGCTGAGTGTGTTATAAGGGCAATACCCCAGGCACAATCTGTCCACAAGACCAACTGCCCTGGGTACTAAAGACACTAAGGGGAGGTGGACTGAAGGGAAGGGAAGGCCCAACTCCAGACAGAGGGGTGGACAGGGTGAGCTCTGTTACACAGCTAGTCACAACATCTGCCCCACAGAGCGAGGCTCTGGGATGCATGGGAGGTAGGCAGCTCCATGTGGTAAGGGGCCAGAGATCTGATCCTGCCCTGTCCTTACAGGTGACACAGGCTTGTTGGTTAGCCACCTGCTTTGTGAGCCACCTGTGCATGCAGGGTGGTGCCTACCAGGTAAAAAGCAAACTCTGAGGTTCTTTGCTAGAACCCCTGTCCTCCAGCAGGTGAAAGGGGGCCCTGTGGAGAGAGGGTGGCTTCAAGAGGGCCAGTGACAAACTGGCACCCTTTTGGGGCAAGCTCAAGACTAGGACAACCTGGAGGGAGGCTGCCACGACTGAAGGTGCTCATCCACAGGCCCGGTCACCAAAAACCAAGGGCAAAGCTGCAGCCTCCACGGGACACTCGGCACCCGATAGCCACTGCCTGCCTGTCTCCTGAGCCCCCTCAGTCAGAAGCTCCCAGGCAGCCCTTCGTCAAGCATTCCCTGCCCTCCTTGCCTGTCTCAAACAGGGACTGTGCCCCCCTGGGCTGGGGACACCTATAGAGCCAAGCCCTTCAATCCATGGGGCCCACTAACCTTGGGAAGGTCTCAAGTTTAAACAGTGGGAATGATCCCCAAGGCACGGCAAGGCTGGGGTCAGTGCATCTGAAGAAGGGACCTTTCTCTTTGAAGGAACAGGGTCCTGGGCCAGGAGTGGATGGCAGGTCGACCACTCAGGCCTATGGAGCTGTGTGCTCCCTCCCCACTTCCAGCCTCTCCCCCAAGGCGGAGTGAGACCCTGCAGGTGCTCATGGGTGAACAGATGACATACAGCCTCTTCCTTGGCCAGCAGGGGAGACGTGGGGCTGGGCTGCAAGGCCTTGGGGGAACCATTCCCTCCTCTCAGGCCTCCCTTGGGGAGCTCATCGGGTCCAGCATGCAGTGCCCCTTAGTACCGAGCAGGGTCAGCTGTGCACACCTCAGGCCCCCACTTGTCCTCTGAGGCCCACTACAGGGAGTGGATAATAAGGGTATGGGAGGGCAGCAGCCCTGGAGAGGTCAGTGGGAGGACTGGGGCCTGAGTGTGAAGGGGTCCCCTGGGGAAGGGCGAGAAGTCAGTCTGGGAAAGTTTGTGTCTTCCAAGTGCCCCTGAGTTCTGCTGGAGCTCAGCCTGGAGGCCTCAGGTCAGAGCTACCACCTGCAGTCCTGTATGGAGAGGAGATCCTGCCCTGTGTGCCCCAGGGTTTGACTCCTCCCACTCTGGAGAAAGGGCACCCTCCTGGCTTGCAGCTCTTCTGGGCTATGGCTGTCACCCAGCACCCAGAGCTCTGTCCCTTTGGAGTAGGTCGCGGCCCTGATACCTCCTCCCTGACTTCCCAACTGCAGGACGCTCTGTGCCCGGACGTTCTTCACGAGCTCCACCAATTCAGAGCCTTGACCTCACTGTTCCCTCCACCGAGGAGTTTGTGCAGTCCCCTGGAATGCCCTTTCCGACCACCCTCCATGGTGGCACCCCACCATTCAGAGCGTGGGATGGCTATACCCCCAACAACATGCAATCCTCTGACACACCTTGTACGCTCCCACCTGACCATCCCCATCTACCCCCTCACCAGGGACAAGTGAAGGGAGCTAGTGGAAACCCAGCCATGGCAGATCCCCGTCACACACTGCGCCCAGGCGTGTCCTAACCTGCAGGCTGGAGACCCGGACCCCGCCCAGGAAATGGCTGCGCTCCCATGCTGCCCGCGCACGCTCACAGAGGAAGGAGCCGGCCTCGCGTGTGCAGTAACAGCTTTAATCGTCATGGCTGCCCTGTCCCGGCGCCGCGGCCTCACGGCACAACCTGGGAGTCACATCTCAGGGAATGGAGCTTCGGCCGGGGGCGGGGGGCACCTGCAGCGCTCAGTGACAGCAGGATTAAGACGGGAGGCCGCGTCGCGGGCGCAGAAAGCAGAGCCCACTATTCGTGTATTATACATATATATATTTCATGTGTACACAGATAGTTTTCTCTCTCGAAAGTATTAAAAAATTGATCAACCCTCAATCTATAAAAAATACCTACTCTACATGATAGAAAAATCTCTCCTCCAAGTTTACACTGATTTACAACCAAGGCTTTCCCCAAAATGTACAATACGAGGCAACGTCTTAACTCTGAGTGTGGAGGGTGGGTGGACACGGGAACACTCACACACACATTCACACTCTCACACACCTACACATGCACACACACGGCAGGGCGGCCAGTCTGCGGGGCGGCTCTCCGTCCACCTGGAGGGCTAGCAAGCTCCCGCCTGGTGCTCAGGCTGGGGGAGGTCTTCGGCAGCACACCAGCCTCCTGCCCACCCTCCTGCAGACCCACCCTCAGGGAACAGAACTATTTATAAGTCCAACACGTGGAAGAGGAGGGATCCAGACTTCCCCAGGCAGCATGGACAGTCCAGTCCAAAGAGGACACGGGCTCCAGGGGACCAGCACAGCCCTGAGGCCCTGGAACCAGAGGGAGGGTCCTCACGGCTAGGACCATTCCGTCTCCGTCTCAGAGCAGAGGGACTGCCAGGCTCCTGCCCCAGCCCCCAAGAGAGCCCCGGTCAGAACCCCGAGGGTTATTGCAGCAAGGGGTCCAGCCACTGGTAGGGGGTTGGGGGAACTGTGGGTTTGACCCAGTGCCCTGAGCCATTCAGGGGCGACACAGACTATACTATAGGGAGACGCCCAGGAAGCTGAGGAGGGAGGAGTCCTGTGACTCCCCAGTTGGTCTCCCTGACCACTGCATCCAAGTGTGGACCAGGGCTCGTCCAGCATGGGCAGACACCAGATCGGGGTGCCTATGGGGACCCATTTCCATTCCCCAATGCACCAAAGCCCCCAGGGCTGGGCAGGCGTGGGCGAGCAGGTCTAAGAGGGTGCTGGGGCACTCACCCAGCCCAGGAACTGCCCACGGTCTCTGTGAGAGGGGAGGGAAGCACAGGCTCGGGGCCCAGCACCTCTCCTACGTGGCTAATCTTGTTCCTGAGCCCCCAGCCCTCAGCCCCCAGCCTGGCTCCAGGTGTCGAGCTGCTGGGCCACGGCCTTGGCTCTGTGCGCCGCGTGCACCGGTGCGCTGTGGTGCATGGCCTCGGCTGCCCTACTTCACCTCCAGAATGGACGGGTTGGTCTCCATGATGGCCACGATGATGCGGTCGATGTAGTCCTGCAGGCGGAAGTTGATCTCCTCCTGCTTCTGTATTGCCTCCATGAGCTGCAGGAGACGGTGGGTGTCACACACTGGGTTACAGGCAGGGAGGGCCCCCACTGTCCCGGGCGTTACCTCATCACGGGAGACTGAGCTGATCTCCGCGGCCAGGGACTCAGAAAAGGATGTGGAGAAGAGGTTCTTGGCGCCCTGGATGCTCAGATTGATGATCTGCCCGTTGAGCTCGTCATTCTGCTCCTTGAGGCTCCGGTTGTCCTGCAGTGGTGGTGGCATCAGGCCCTGCCCTTGCCCCCCAATGTCCTGACCACGCCACCCTCCACGAGCTCTCTGGGTGGCGTGTCTGCAGGGCCGGAGGGACCGACCCAGGAACATGCCTGCTGCCCACTCTCAGCCGTCCTGCTCGCCTACCTGCTTCAGCCTGCGGACCTCCTGCTCCAACTCGCTCTCCCGGGTGCGGCTGTGGTACTCCTGCAGGCCCATGCTGCTGCTCCGGCCCCGGCGCTGCTCCGCCTCCAGCTTGAACAGCTGCAGGTGCTCCAGTTGCTTCCGGAGGTCCTCAATCAGCTGCAGGAGAAGCCAGTGAGAGGCTGGACAGTCCGGGTGGGACACACGGGAGGCAGGGCAGGACACGTGAGGGGGTGGGCTGGATACAAGAGTGGGGAGGGAACTGAGCACTGGCACGGTGGGGCTATCTGGGCACCTGGGTGCCTGGGTGCCAGGGATGGGCACTCTGGACAACATTTGGGTGGGCAGGGATGTATGTCCCCACCAAGCCACACTACACCCCTACTCAGAGTGGCACATTTGAGTAATGCATTTCAGGACCCAGAGTGCAGCCCTGGTCCTGTCCAGTGGGCAGTACACAATACAGACAGCTGCATGTTCACACACAGGTGTACGTGGTGCATGGGTGATGGGTGGGCAAGCTCCTTGAGGGCGAAAGTACCAGAACAGAAAATTACAAAGACACAGAAACCACTCAGGGCCCTCCACTAGGGCTGGGGACATCTGGGACAGTTTGAACCACCCCAACTGGGGTGCTCCTGGAATCCCTGGCTGGAGGCAGAGGTGCTGCTCACCACCTCCCAGTGCCCAGGGAGGTGGAGCCGAAGGCTGTGGACAAGGGATTGCGGGGTGGCCACCTCCTGCGTGGATTCCTTGTCCCTCTGGAACTGATGGCGCTCGTGGCTCAGACGGTCGCCCATCCTGCGCCGGCCCTCTTGCTCCTCACTGAGCCGCACTGTCAGGTCCTCGATTTCGCCCAGCAGTTTCTGCTTCTCCTGCAAAGTGAGGACTTTTCCAGCCCAGAACGTGCTGCCCAACCTGGGAGGGCCTCTCAGTGCCTGTCCCCACAGCCTCACCTCCTCCAGCCGCTCGATGCTGGCCTTCAGGCAGGGTGCACAGGACCGCAGCTCCCCATTCTCCTCATCCAGCTGCTGCAGCCTGTGACACAGACAGGGCCGGGGCCGCGCTGCTTTAGGGAAGCTCCCGAGGTGCTGCCCCACCACACACCTGCTCCCCAAATGCTACAGCTGGCTCCCGAGGTCCCACCTCACCACTCTTAGGCTGACAGGAGCCCCTGCAGCTCCCCCACTGCTGTAGGCCCCATCCCCCACGCCCCCTCCCCAGCCTCAGTGTCTTTCTTGTTCCCGCCATTCAGTGATGTGGGCTATTGTCACCAGTGAGACCCATATCCAGCTCCAGATGTGACAGGGTCCTGACGATGCTCTCCTCCACCCGGGACCTGCACCACATCCTGCCCCCTTGACCTTCCTTCCTTGTCTCTTGGGACCTGGACAGGCCTGGGGGGTCCTGGCCAGCAGTTTGCAGGCCATGCTCATGGGGTCTGCCTGCTGCTTTGTAATCAAACCAGGTGATGGTTTGTGGGGGGACTCCTGTCACACTGTATCTGCATCTGAGGGAGGTGTGTCCATGGCAGCCCTGACCCCCTGCTCCCCTGCTTTACACTACCTACCTATCATCTGGGCTCTCTGTCTCTCTGTCCGGATGCCCTACTCTTCCTCTTTTATGACCTACCCATCATTTGTTTACGACAGCACAGTCACCACTCGACTCCCACAGCTGCTCAGACTGTCTGATGCAGGTCATCCGGCTGCCGCCCTATCCTCTGACATGCCCAACCTGTTGCTGACACCCCTTCTTCTTGTGCCCCATGCCCTCCCTGCATAGCCTGGAACCAGCCATCCCTCTGAGGAGTGGCTCCCCAAGAACCCTTTCCTCACCATCCTACTAATGTTGCTGCCTTATCCACCTCACCAGTTGGTGCTATGCAGTACGGGCACGGTGCCTGCCCACCAGGCACAGTTAATGAGGCCTGGCAGATACATGGCTCACTGGAGGTCTCACCGGCTCCCTGCCACTCGCCGTGGAGGGCAAGTGGCCCACATGATTCGGTCCTCAGCAGTGCAGTGGCCAGGGCTGCTGCTCCCCAGGTGGGGCATGACCAGGAACCCTGTTGTGGGACCTTGGCTTCACCCCAACTCCCATAGGCAGTTGATGCTCCAGCTTTGGAGTCCCCTGTGGCCGCAGGCTAAGCACCGGCACTCCTCAGCCTGCCAGCTCCAGGTTGTCTATGGTCCCCACAGGCCTCAGAAATGCTGGCTGGCTGAGACCTCTCCTCTGTCCTTCTGGGTTTTGCCTTTAAAACGTCAAGACACTTTTCATTCCTGATGTTCTGCTGGAGTGGGTACACGCATGCCTGTGATTCTGCCTCTGAGCTGCTGTTTCCTTTTATAACAACACTTGATCTTCCTTCATTGTTTAAAGCCTGTATAATGTCACCAGAAGGCGACATCTTTCTCTCAGGTGGCCTCTGTTCCCGCAACGGTGTCTCCTACTGGTAGCTCCTGTTTCTGTTTTCTCTCCTGTCTCCTTTCACCACCAAGCTTGTGGGGGAGGCCTCCCCATGTTTGTTGGAAGGGCATGTTGTGTGCCACGTGAGCACTGCAAAAGGAGCCTCATCCACACATGCTGAAACCTGTGTGCTGGGCCAAGGTCCACGGTGACATGCCCCAAGTCTCACATCCAACCCGGCACATGTCACCCTTGTGACGTCAAAGGAGGTGGCACGAGACTGGCCATGTACCCCTTACCCAGCTCTGTACCACCACAGGTGCTCCTGCCTGCTACCAGAGGGCCCCCCCCCCGGGGTGATGAGAACCACCTGTTCCCGCAGATAATGGTTTTTCTTGACACTGCAGCAGTGAACATCACTATCTACTCTGTGACATCAACAGTGCACCCCACCCTCCTGCTGTGCTCCATGTTTCTTATAACTCCTCCCAGGCCCTAATGGGCAGTCCCAGGCTGCAGCCCCTCATGCTGTCCCACCATGCCCCTTCAGCTCCAATGGGTACCTCTTTGCTGAGAACCTCTCGAGACCCTGCTGTCTTCTGCCGTCACAGCGCATACACTGGAGTCAGCACAGACGAGCCCCTCGGCAGCAAGCAGAGCCCCACTCCTTGCTGCACCTCCAGACCTGTCTGCCCCTGGAGAACTAGGACTGGCCTCCTGAGGGACTACAGGGTGCAGGTGTGTGCTGCACCAAAGGGGGCTGCCCTACATGTGCTGGGAGGGCCGAGTCCCTAGGGCTGCAGAAGCTCGTGGGCTGGGGTGACCCCCGCATGCTGCCTCCGGGCTGCAGGATACTCAAGGGCACTGACACCATGAGGCTGCTGGGCTCAGCCACCAAGAACTACGCCTGTGGCAGCTTCAGGAGGCCACATGGGCCAGCTGGGCCTGGCACCTTGGTTTGTCCAGGAACCCCAAACCTGCCCATTCCGTGCCCTCCTCACCTCCATGAGACAGTGCTGCTGTTTGGGGTCTGGGGTGGCAGCCCACAGACAGCCCCCCCCCCAGCTCTCTCCTGCGGTGCCACTACCAAAAGACCCTGCCCTGTGCATTTGCTATGGTGAGACCCCGGCCTTGCCAGGCTCAGCCCTCTCCTGTAGCCCCTCCTGCCCTCCCTGCCTCCATTCCTGAAAATGTCCAAGAGCTCAGAGAGAAAACCAGACGCCATCTCTTCCCAAGCAAGATGGCGAGAAAGGAGCAGGAGAAAAGCATTTGGAGTCTTCTCCACAGACATTTAAGGCTGTACGTCCTCCTCCCATCAGGCACACCTATATAGACGCATACACACATATACAAGGCAAGCCTGTATACATGCACACACATGCCCCCACAAGCACACCTGTACACATACACGGGCATACCTTTATACATGCACCTCTACAGACACACCTGTAAAAATACAGATATACACACTCATATACACAGGCACACTATACACATGCACCCCCAAGGGACACCTGTATACACACAGGTACACTTGTACACACATAGGCACACTTGTACATATGGACCCAACTGTACACACTCACACATGCAGGTAATTTGTACACATGCACCTGCACACACCCATATGCAGACACACACGTGCACACACAGACATACCTGTTCACACATACAGAAACAGGCACACCTGTGGACACATGCAGCCCCCCACATGCATGGAACTTCAGCAGACTCAGACGTGACGTAGAAGACCCCGTGTGCCGGCCCACATGTGCCAGGCTCACACAGCGGGCATCACCTAGGGACTAACACCTAGAGACAGGAGCAAAGCACGTAGAGAGGCCACACCTCACTTAGGTCCCCTGCTGTTGTGATGTTTGCACCCTGGCTTGTAGACACACCCTTTGTATGTAACCCTGTAGACCAACCACACATGCCTGCAGCCTGAGTCTGCACAGAGCTTTCCCACTCAGGGTAGCACTGCTCTGCCTCCAGCCTCAGGACACATCCTAACGTAAGTGGGCTCAGCCCCTTCTTCTGACCCTCTCAAGTCTCTGAGGCACTGATGCATGCCAGGGACTGACATCTGGGGTCCAGAGCTTCCAGGGTCTTCCACAGAGTTCTCCAATTTTCTGCACGTTTTCTACTTCACTTCACCCCAAGATGGGGTGCCTTCCTGGGGACCCCCACATCTAAGGGTGATTTCTAAGGCTGCCCGCCCGCCCACCTGGCCTGCAGGTTCTCCATCTCAATGCTCTTCTCCCGCTCCATCCTGCAAAGCACCTCCCTCTGCTTCCGGGCCTCCTCCAGGACCAGCTCACAGGCCCGCAGCTCCTGCTCCTTCAGCTGCTCCTCCAAGGCATTGGCTCTGCAGAGGCAGAGGGGTGAGGTGAGTGCCCCTCCCACTCACTCCAGCAGTCGGCCTCTCCACCAATGCTCACCTGAGCTGTCAGCCTGCCCCCTCACCTGTGCACAATTGGTCGGCCTGCCCCCTCCCCACTTACCTGAGTGGTCAGCCTGCTCCCTTCACCTGTGCACAAGCAGTCGGACTGCCCCTCACCTGTGCACAAGTGGTGGCCTGCCCCCTCACCTGTGCACAAGCTGCAAGTTCTCCTGCCGCAGACGGCTGTGCTGCTCCCCATTGGCCACACTGTCCTTCTCTAGCTCCAATACCCGCTTCTCCAGGAAGATGACCTGGGAATGAGATGCCGGTTTGAGAAGTAGGTAGACCAGCAGAAGGCCCATGCCTATTGGGTGCAGGGTCCAGGACACTGTCTAGTGAGATTCTATACAATCACACAATCCCAGTCCACCCTGGGGCGCTCCACCCTCACAAACACTCTGTGGCCTTGAGAGCAGGTGCACATGTTGCCAGGACCCTGAGGCCTAGGGTGGGCCTGAGGGGGTGGGCAGCCAAAGGATGGCCCAGGTGTTAGAGATGCAAGGGATAGTAAGGGTCAGTGACCTGGCCTCTTCCTCCCTCTCTAGCAGGAGACAGACACCTACACAGGTAGAGGAATGAAGGGGAGCAGAAGGGCTCAGACTCAAGGGCCAAGGAAGGCTTGCAGAGTATGGGATGCAGAGAAGCCATGAGGTAAGGACAGCACGAGGTAAAGGGGTCCAGGAGGAGGTGAGCAAGGGATATACCAGGAATTGAGGGGCTCCAGGAGGAAGTGAGGGGGTCCAGGAAGAGGTGAAGAAGGGATATACCAGGAGTTGAGGGGGTCCCGAAGGAGGTGAGGGGTCCAGGAAGAGGTGAGGGGAACCAGCAGGAGGTGAAGAAGAGGTATACCAGGGGGTGAGATGAGGGTCCTCCCCTCCCCACCCACCCACCCACATGCCTGCTTGCCCAGGGCTGCACCTTGTCAGCGATGGCCTCCTCAGTGCCCTCCATGGGATCATGAGGTGAGTCCTCCAGAGCCTCCATAGTCAGGACCCCCGACTGGTGCAGGTGCCTAGGACCAGAAGCAGGAGCCCAGTGCACAGAAGGGAGAGAGATAGGAGCAAAGCACGTAGAGAGACAGACAGATGTGCACAAACATGGCCTCTCTGCAAGCGTCTCTCCCCTGCCAGGGACACCTTTACCCAGAGTCTCTCCAGTGCTCTTTGGACCTTGATAAAACCCTGACCTTGTCCCAGGCCAGCTCAAGGAACGAGGTACTTTGCACTCTGTGGCAGTAAAAACACAGCACAGTCTCTCAGACCACAGTCGTCACATAACCCTGCCCCAGCCCAGGGCAGGACCAGGAACTCTGGCCCATGACTCTGCTCCCACATTGTCACACCCACTCAGGCCTGGTCATATCTGTGCCCTGAAGCACCAACCACCAACGTGCCTGCCTGTGTGCCACGACAGCTGTTCCATGGCCCAGCCTGCAGATGCCCATCTCTGTATGGCATGCTGGCTGCTGCCCCAGACCAGGAGGTAGTGGAGGGAACCCCAATTCTGTGGTCCTGGTGGGAACTCTCTAGGGCTCCCCTCACCACGAACTCCAGACAAAGCTCTCTATAGGGCTTTTCCTTTTCCACTTCTCAGTGGTCAGCACCTTGGGCAGGTGCTTCTCGTGGTGGAAATGTACCTTCCCATCTCGTGTGCCCAGAGGACAGAGGGGAGTTCACTGCATTCACCACTATTGCCCGGAACATGGCAGACGGCAGCTCGAGCCTGACCGAGGCCCTGGAAGAACGCCAAGTCCTCCCCTGACCTCGGTCAGCTCCAGGTTCTCAGCACCGACTGAGCTGGGACAGTCCTTATGTTAATTTTCCCCCAGAAACATTCTAAGGAGAGAGAAGGGGGGCCTCTTCACTAGGCCAGATGGTCTGGCAAGTCCACAGACCATGGACTCCAAGTGTCTTGGGTGGACACAGTCCTCCCTGACGCCTGTCTCTCAGCACAGCCTGAATGAGGTGGTGAGCAGCGCCTCCATAAATCCCAGAGAGCCATCTCCAAGCTGGAGCCCTACCTCAAGCCAATGGGAGATAAAGTAACCATATCTCCTAACAGCAAGGCCTCTGAGAGGACCTGCCAGGCAGGAAGGTGTGCTGCACCAGCAACAGTGGGAGGATGAGAAGGGAGCCCATGGTCCGACGGCTGGACCGGTGGGGAAGTAGCTTCCAGGACTGCGGTGTGAGGTTTGGTAACATCAGCAGTCCCATCAGGAAGCAGCCACGAGCCCGTCTTACAAGGACCTAACAGGGAAGTGCCATGACCTCCATGGAGGGAGAGGTGGGGTAACGTCAGCTGTCCCGTCAGGAAGCCAACAGACAGCTAAAGCTCAAAGATGAGGAAAGGGCTACATCGAAGTCATCTAGACCCTGAGCACCAACCACCCTTCCCACTCACAAAGAAGGGGCTGCTGGAGTGTGCTGGGGAGAGGCATGAGCAGGCCAAGCACAGGCTTGGCCTGCAGGCCATGCCACCTTTCCTAATGAGCTCATTCACAGCAGACCCTTGGGGACACCAGCTCCCCCAGGCCTCCTAGTAAAGACCCAGGAAGTGAGGATCACGCAAAGCTTTCAACTCTGCATCCCAGTCACACACCCAAACCCACAGCCCCGGGAGATATTTTCTGCCCCAGATCCCTCAAATCATTCAAAATCCCAAACCAGAAGAGACTTTCGTTTTCTTAAATACTTGGAAAACACTGTATTTTTAAAAGCCTCCTTAAAAGATTATGATTCATAACACATTTTGGGGGAATATTTCCCAATAAAGTATCATGCCTACCTTGCAACCCTCTTGCTGGAAAGCTGCTTTGTCGGGCTGTGCAAAAACCAAAATAAACAGGAAAACGGTGTCAGAGAACAGGCAGTGAGGAACAGGAGGGAACAGGAAATTCGGGCTGAAGAGATAGGGGAGTGGGGCCGCCCCTCCCAACAGCACCACTGTGCATGCAGCTGCTCCCCTAGGCAAGCCCCAGGCACAAAGACCCTGTCGGCAAGGCATGCAGAGGAGGAGCTGCAGGGGGCTCACTCGAGGCCTCCCGGCACCTCATCTCCTGGCCCCACCTCCCCAGGTGCCACAACCCAACGCAGCTCCGAGTCCACTTCCACCGCCTAGACCTGCTGACTGCATTGGGTCTGAGCCTGGCCAACACCATGTCCCAAGTGTTCCATGTCCCAGAGCCAAGCCAAACTGCCCACCAGAGGGCCGACCACAGGGAAAGGGACAAGGACCTGTTGCTAATGGGAGGGCTTGTCACAGGTTCTGAATATCTCACTCTCCAAAATCCCGGCTGGCCACAGGTCTGAAACACCTTTCTGCTACCACTGCAGGGCAGCGACTCTAGTCAAGTCACCTCGTCCTCATCCATTTCCGGAGGCCAGAGGGGCCAAGCTCATCTTCGTTCTTATTTCTGAGGCCCAAAACTGTTTTCCAATTTTAACAACCGTCACTTCACCCTGTGAGAGGACATGCCTCGTTTTCCAGCACATGGACCATCGCTCAGCAGCTGGGCCATACCTGCTCCTGCTTGCTCACCTGCACACACCTGTGACCCTCTGAAGGCTCAGGCAGAAAGGCCTCTCTGGGGAGAAGTGCTTGTGGAAACAGGTGCCTGTTCACTGCCTCTCGGCTCCAACTCCACCCTCTTTGCTGGTTTTGTGGATCTGGGCCCCTTAGTGTTCCTGTGTGATGCTGTATTTTGTCAGTAGAGGGTGCTGGAGAGAGGGAGGAAGGCTCCTAGGCCTTGGCAACACCCACTGGTCAGCAGCATCCCCAGCACCTCCTGGGTGGTCACGTAGGGGATACCTCAGGTGAGACCCTCCGTGTGAACAGCTTTCCCTGCAGCATACCCACCAGCATGCCACAAGGTGCTGGCTCTGCCATCTGGCTGTACTGTGGCATCTTGAAGAATTCCTCATCTCAGCCCTGGTGGGCTGGCTCTGTTGTGGCCCCAGGCCTGGCAGCACTCCTCACAGAACTGCTGTTGAACGTTTTTTTTTCCTCTTTTTTTTAATTGTGATTTATGTACAAGTTTACAGAGCAAATTTGTTTCCCATTCAACAGTTCATACGTTTGGTTTTGTGACACTGACTGCAATTCCCCACAATGGAACAGCTCTCTTTCCACTTCCTCCCTGTAGTTACCTCTTCCCTGTGTCCTTCCCTCCTATGCACTCCCACCCCCCCAAGCTATCTCCCTGTGCAGACACTGCCCTTCTGTTTTCCCATGATTGATTGTTCTAAGGAGGGTATCTACCTGATGTAAACGTTCACCCTTACATGCCTGTCTACTGTTTAGCTAGAAGCCAGGGGAGTGAGTTCAATTCCAGGCCTGAATGGTAACTAGAGGCCACAGTCTTGGGGGTCTCACCAGGTTCCATCAGACTAGTAAACCTGGTATTTTTCATGAATGTGAGTTTTGTTCCACATTATTCTCTGACTCTACCCAGGATTTCTTGCACTGATCCCTGTCTGAGTGGCTGACAGTGGTAGCTAGGCACCATCTAGTTCTTCTGGTCTCATGGTCCTACAGGCTGAGGTTCTCATGGTCCACCAGTCCCTTGGATTACTAATTTCCAGATGTCTTTGGTTTTCTTCAATCTTCTGTGCTCTGGACAAGGAGAGACCCATTTTTGCATCTAGATGGCCACTTGAAAGCTTTTAAGAACCTACTCACCAGTCACCAAAGTAGGATGTGGAACAATGCTTTCGTGTAGTACGTTAGGCCAGTTGAGCTTGGTGTCTCCCTGTGACCATGGTCTCGAGCCCACGGGCCCAGTGATTCACTCCCCCCTCGAAAGGGTGTTTGGCTGTGGTTAAGAAGTTATCCTAACT